GCCACGTAAAAAGCAATCATATTTTGAACGTCAGGAAGTTGTCAAGTGTAAATCGAAACTTGTGCTTATTACATTCCAAAGATGTTTTCTCATACATATATTTTGAAAACTCTTCACTATTTTACATCTCAAAAAAGTAAAATTGCATTGAAAGTTGCAGAAAAAATTGAACGGGTGTTGCAGGAATATGAAATAAAAACGAAACATTGTTTTTGAATACCTAAAATTTCAAAGGTCGGATATACGAACACAATATACCCGGGTATATTCAACCCTATTGTTGGGTTTCTCGTATTGTTCTCATAGTGATTTGGGCCGGGATCAACCTCGATTGTCTGGACGATTATGCAGCACAGGAGTGAGCAAACGAGTCGAAATTTTGCACATATTTGGTACTAAGCCCATAGCCAACACAAACAGTGAATAATGAACTTAGTCTGATTTCTGTGTCTCGTTTTCGAGTTGACTCGCTGAGGAATTATGACGTCACGTGAAACCCAAGAATACGAAGGTTGAACATACCGCATTCCGGAATATTGACTTTCACTACTTTTTTGTGTTCGTCTGTGGTACACCTTTCAATAGACTCCTGAATATTCGACCTTATATACCGGAATATGGCATATATATATATATATATATATATATATATATATATATATATATATATATATATATATATATATATAGATATATAATATATATGTATATATAGATATATATATATTATATGTATTATATATATATAATATATATATTATAATTATATATATATATATATATATATATATTATATATATTACCTTTTAACTAAATCAATTAGAATTATACTAAAACCCCTGCCGCAACTTACTTGTTATTGAAAGGACCTATTTATACAAATGACGTGCATGTACTTCTATAATGATATACTTCGCTATATATAAATTATATAATAATAATATTTTTGACCTCAAGACAATGCCACCGACCCTGTTGTTATGTTGTGGTTATATTGTCATGATAATGGAAAATCAAACATATAATGTATATATGCATGTATATTACAAAACATTATACTTATTAGCTATCTAAAAATATCGACACTGTATGTTTGAGCACTGTTAATTGTTACGACAGGAATAGATTGGCCATTCGCATGCAAAAAACGTTTTAAAATGTGAAGAGTATTAAAAGGAGCTCAAGTTCAAATTATCATCAACATCCGTTTTTATAGTACTCATGCGTGTAGGCAACATTCTTATATTCATAAACCTAAACATTTCGTCTATTTATATTAAGCGATATGTTGGGTTTGTATAACTAACTGCTTACAACGACAGGCTTAAAATCTCCTCAACGTTTATGCAATTCCAGACAATACACAGGGAAAGCCAAAACAAGCGTCAAACGTAAATATATACATAGAAGCTATCTGGTAGAAAGAATAATTATAAGAATATACACCCCCCAATATATCCGGCGCATCTAGTTTGGCCTTGTATACAAGCACCTTCACAATTTACACTATGATACCGTCAGTCAAGCAAGTTGCGATCATGAATATTTATTTCGACGCTTTTAAGGCAACATTAATAATTTAAACTTGTTTTCGACTTGTTTGAGATTTGTATATAAAGCCCTCATTTCCATTTTTTTTGCCCGATGCGTTGCATGAAAAAACCCTGTTGCATATAGAGATGGCAACATGGGTTTATAGACTTGCTGTTCTGCTTTTGAACATGAAATTGACTTTACAACATGCGTCGCTTTCTGCAGACGTCAAAAACATTATTGTGGCACATTTTTTTCGCCTGCGTGGCCGGAGTCTCCGTGTTCCTCCTCTAGCAAGTTTGAAAATTTCGGGTAATGAAATGAAATGTTTAACACTCTGTGTCAAAAATGAAAATTGCTACTCGAAAGAACTAAAAAAGTGTTGCCGTAGAAAAAATAATGCTTGAACTGCTGAGGTTGTATGCAGTCGTTCAAGCGTTCAATTTTATACGGCGAACGTAAAACACATACGGCAAAGCTGAATTTGCTTCTTTTCTAAATGCATCAGAAATAGCCTATTGCTTCTTTACATTACTGCTGAACATCACAAGTTTTATGTAGAACAAGTTTTTGTAATTTATTGCCGCACACTTAAAAATAGTGGAGTTAAAACAAACTTTGTTACTTTAGTGGTTTGGCGTTTGCCGTAAACGCCAGACTAATTGGTCTCTGTTATTTGAATATTCATGTTTCTTTTGAAATTGATTGTTTTTCCGGTATTAGGCTGACTTGAACATGCATGTTGCATGTAAGTAACATCTTCCGCAGCATCTTCGTACGCTCTAAAATTCACCTTTTTTCGGTATAAACTAAATTGGAAATCCTAGTAACTTGTAATTTGTTCGTTCCAAACGTTTAATTTCATTGTCTTTCGAGCATGTTTACAACGGTTCAAAGAATCTCTATTCGGTGGATAGCCAGTATTATGAAAACTCACTCACACACACAATGAGTGCCATATGTAGAGTTTGGTTTTAGATCTCGCAGACTCGCAGTAACTTCTTCTAAAGATACATGCTATTTTGGATCAACTCACAGTTGATTTCGGGGGAATTTGTGAATTTCCAAGTGAAGTGGGTGCAATTGGCTGGCATGCCTAAAATTACTAAATTGTCTCGCTGATATTTTCGTCCAGATTCCATGTGTTCCTAGTCCATGTTTTAAGAGCTACGCCACTTGCGTTGCCAAAGATTCATTTCATTTTCATAAGCCGTTCGCATGTGTTTACAGTAAGTACTTATAGCACTTAAAGTAAGTATAGTAACCAAGTAAAGTAAAATAAATTCGCTTGCATGGTGAAAATCGGGCTTAGTTGAGTTTCCCGGAGTGAAAAATTTGACTATTTATATCCCATAATTTAAACTATACCCAGTACTTTTCGCATCCCCACTTAGAAAACATATTCTGGTTCTTGTTGCCTCCTAACCAAAAATAATGACTATACACCTTTGCACAAAATCATGTATTTGCGAATTGCGACGCCATTTGTAACCACGATTGGTGAACAGAGCAGTGTCAACCAATGGTGGAGAGTTGACCTACAGGTAATTCTAGAACTGCCACGAAGCATTTAATGGTCATACTAACGTCTTTGACGTATCCATCCTGAATCGGCAAGGCGGAAAAAGTAGTGTAAGTTATTAGTTGTTTCCGCCTTGAGGTTCAAAATGTTATAAATGTTGTCAACATGGGCGTAACTATAAGATATTGCACTTACAAAAGAAATCCGTAGGGCAGAAGTGGACATCTGAATATTCACCCCTCAATTATCATTCTAGTTACACACCTGGTTGTCAACGATTATTGTTGTGACATTGTAATTACTTTTGCCTGCTGCTGAAACATTTGCTGCTGTGTAAGCTTATCACGAGCATATGGCAATTTTTTTTAACCTTAACCTCCCTTTTTTAGACAGATACTATAACTTCGCCCTGCGTAAGCCAACAAAGCAGTCTAATACCTTTTACATAAATGGTATTCATTTATCATCACATTACGCCGTGGATGGCATCAGAACTGTTTCTTGTATTAATATTCCGGAGGCTATTGGGTGTGCACATCTACATAGCAGTGTCAACCAATGGTGGAGAGTTGACCTACAGGTAATTCTAGAACTGCCGCGAAGCATTTAATGGTCATACTAACGTCTTTGACGTATCCATCCTCAATCTAGATTTTCTTCATATATAGCTCATTTCTGGGCCACTAATGCCTGGCTGTCTCCTGTCCGTTTTGAGCCCATGCAAACCACTTAGGTCCAATAGCTTAGCCAGCGCGACAAACTGTCCCGCTATGCTAATATTTCAATATTTATTGACAGCGAAACAATAAATTTCTAAAGACATGAATAACTATAACTGCAAATTTGCATAACAGGACAAAATCGTAAGGCTGGCTACGTCACTGTTTATACCTCGATTAAAATAACTTATTACTGGCGCACTCTTCTATCCGTATGAATTTTTCGTTACAATATGTCGCAGATTATAATCCCCGTGGGAAGAGTCGGCTTTGCAAACAGACAAGATTATTATAACGGTTTACAGAATTTTGAAATCAAAATTGGTAACAGTTTGGAAAACGAGGGACGAAACAACCCGAAGTGTGGAGATCGACATTCAGTGCCACATAAACAGTATAAGATAATTTCTTGTTCACCTCCCTTGTCTGGTCGATATGTTGTCATTCAAGGTTTCCATTTTCATCCTTTGGTCATGATGGAAGTTGAAGTATTTGCAGCAGAAGTGGAAGTCAATTAAAGAGTTACAAGTTTACAATACATATCAGTGTGCATGGATATCAGCACTGACTGGACACATACAGTGTCAGCACTGCATGGATTAAAGAATTTGTTGCATGGAAAACGTCTCCAAATTAAGTTTTGTTGGGTTTTTAGCATGTTATTGTATAGATCCTGGTTTCTCTAAGATAATTTTGGTGTCTTTCACCCGACGATGCTGCTAGTTGCCGTTGGTGTCACTTCTACGAAGATAAAGAATGTAATCCTTTTTCATGAAAGGACATCTTCCCCCCCCCTGCCCTTGATGATAAAAGGCAAGGGGGCAGCTGCATCTGCTACCTTTTTGTTTTTGTATTGCCATGGCATTATAACCAGAAGATAACAACAAGATGAACAGTCTTCGCAGCGCGGTATTAATTATAATAGCGAGATAATTATTAACACATTAAGAGTTAATGCGATAAATATACTTATTATATTCGACAATTTGAAATAATAGAATAGATAAATATACTTAAGTTAGCGAATCTACAATAAATCAATATTAGCGAGAAAAACTCTAAAACCTAACAGCGTATATGCAATTCTCGATATTACAAACACCTTCACAATATGAGTCCTGTCAAACGGGTTGCTAATATTTATATTTCGATGTTCAACATTAATAATTTATTTTTGGTTACCTGCTGCCGTTTTAAAGGTTTTCAATTCCAGATTTATACATCACTTCAGTGCGTCGCATGTATAATTGTAAAGAAACGTTACCTACAAGGATGGCTGTCTGGGTTTATAGACTCGCTGTTTTACTCTCGAGCGTAACATTGACTTTGCAACACGCGTCGTTTTCTGCAGACGCTAAGAACATTAAAGTAGCACATTTTTTTCGTCTTCGTGACCATAGTCTCCGTGCTCCTCCTCTAGCAAGTTTGAAAATTTCGGGTAATGAAATGAAGTGTCTAACACTCAGTGTTAAAAACGAAAATTGCTACTCGTTGAATGCAAGAAAGCAAGAAAACGAAGACGTGATTTGCGAGCTGTTGAACAATACGATGTATCAGCATCCAAATAATTTAACACGAGATGAAAGCATTACACACTGGTTTACTAAGGTAGGATATTTTTGCCTCTATGTCAAAACAGCTGCAATATTCAGTAATGCGCTCAATACCCCATATAGGACATCTTGAGGGTCAATAAAATCACATTATTCAAACATGACACAGGTTCAGACTATAAAATTTCAACTTTATTTCAAAGTCATCTTGAGTCTAAAATTTACCGTCTCAACCTGTGACTGTATTATTAGTTTTTTCCTTTCCTCCTTAAATGGGCATGGTTTTTAGCAAGGTAAATGAATAATACTTTTTTCGTAAAAAACTTCAAAACTTTGTTGTCGTGTTTGATGATATGAAAATTTGTCCGTTTCTAGGGCAACCGCCAGATTGGCAGGTGGCGATCGATCTAGTTAAACGAGCTTCGTTATGTATAATAAAACACGAATATTTTGAACACAGCCATAGGCATAAGTGGAAAAGGCTAAAATAGCCTTCTAAGACCATGTTTCGAAGGAAAAAAGATGAATTCCGCTCCGTGCCTAAATATCTTCTGTTTATCTCCCGCATCAGGAGTCTCAACAGTGTGTAGAGAGCAGAATATCTTGGACCGGAATTCTTAGCGGCGTTCGCGAGCTGGACCTTTACCCTTTTAGCTTTCAAGGCAAGCGCGTAAAACGTGACGCTAGTTGATTTATGATCGAGTGAAGGAGTTCAGCCTGTCTTTACTTGGGAAAAACATACTCCCTTTCGAAACAGTGAAAGAGTTACTCTCGACACTCATCTTTCTTATGACGAACACTCTTCGTTTATGTCGAATGTTTGGGCTAATACAACCAGCAAAAACATAGACAAATTACAATCTGTTCAGAATTTTGCCTGTCGTATCGTAAGCGGAGCACGAAAGTATGATCATGACGTTACACCACTTTTAAAAGAGTTAAGATGGCTTCTTGTAGCAACCCATGCAATTGTATTATCGCAGCACCACTATGGGTTTCAAGTGCATGACGGGCTGTGTCCGAATTTATATTTCATCTCAATTTATAAAGCGTCAGGATGCATCCAACCGTAATACCAGGGACTCACAACAACTTAATATTCAAAACGGCAACAGGTCAACGGATTAGTTGATTCTTTTAAACGTTCGATGAAAACGAAGTTATTGAGTGAGTTTTTGAGCAATTAGGTTCATGCTTATATAATTAGCTTGTAATTGTATTGTTAATAGTACATATTATAGTTATTATATAATTAGTTATTAGGAACTTGCGTTTGAAAAGCCTCGATGGGGAAAGATAATTAAATGTCATCGTCACAATCATCATCATCATCAAGGTCAATTTGAGTAGGAATTTGTTCATGTTCAGGAGCGATTTAGTTTAACAAAGAAACACAAAGAATCCGCAAGGTTTTCTTACAAACAAAATCGTCTCTAAGCAGAGCGATTTTGGAACTCAAAGTTGCCTGATAATCAACTACCGTCCCGCATTGCGTGCTTGAAAGCCAAAAAGGGAAAGGTCTATTGGCGTTGAGCGATGCCTTTGTCAATTCTATTAGACTTGGAACTCGTGTACACCAATTTATAAATGTTTTGTCCTACAGTCCTGCGCCTGTAAGCTTTTTGAGTATGAGTTAACATTTTTCTGACAAAAAAATGGTGAATTCGCCCAATTTTGCCTCCGAAAATTGCATTAATATTTTGATCATGAGCTGATTTCTTCTCCTAATATTGCCTTCCAGGTTCCATGTGTTCCTAGTCCATGTTTTAAATCATACACCACTTGCATTGCCAAAGATTCAGTTCTTGTGCCATTCGCATGCGTTTACAGTAAGTATACTCCGTGTTTACATATACGGTTTCATTTTTTTAAATTTGCTTCGTTGTGCCTTCTATCAGCCACGTTCTAATTATAGATTACTAATTTTTATTGTAAAAATTTCGGATTATTTCTTGCTATTATGAACCAAATTAAGGTACAGTTGGAAAGCTAAATAACTGCTTTTATATGCTGCGTAAGGATTAATTCATTATATTCAATATATCCTGCGTAAAGAACAGTTAATTTTCATTTCTATTGCAATTGATATACGTAATGTCCTTTTCTAGAATGGGACTACAATTTCGCCTTACGTAAACCAACAGCACAGTCTAATGTCAGGTTTGCAGGTGGCGTACATCTTTCATCACACTACGCCGTTGATGGCATCAAAGCTGCTTCTTGTTTGGGTGATCCCGAGACTACTGGGTGTGCTCATTTGGACACTAGTCACAATCAATGGTGGCGAGTTGACCTGCAGGTAATAATGTTGTCTTATGAGCACGTTTTTCTCCACAATACCGTTCAAATCTCCACATCACCCTCTTTATGATTACGTCAAGGCCCCAGAGGCGTAGCTAGAACGATAATTGGGGGTATTTATTCATGTATTCAGTTCTGTCCGAGGGAGTGTTGTAAACTATTGAACTTATAAAAGAAATCCGTCGTGCAGATAACTGAATAAATGAATAAACAACCTCTCCAAGTTATCGTTCTAGCGACGCCACTGCATGTCCTAGACCATAAATATTGCACCGGTTTCGAAAAATGTCCATCTGCACCCCCTCCCAAATTAATTGAGCTGTAGTGATTATTCCTCATGTTTGACAAGCACATCTACTGATCTGCGTGATTCCTTATTCGACCGTTAGTTTGCCCACTAAATACATTAAAAATTGTTTTGACAGATTTTTTATACAAAACGTCCTTTGGCAATCGGTTAAACGTCCTCATGGAGGTGTTACAGTACTTTTAAAAACGATACGATACGATACGAGCGTTATTCATAGGCGTACCTCTTCGTTTGGGGGGACAAAAAATATCGCCCGAATTTTTGTCTTATACAATGTGCCCGGATTATAACTTTCACCAGATTTGTAACAATGGACTTGGCAAAGCGGTGGATGTGCTTTCAAGAAAGTGTAACAAAAATGGCGAAATAGGATACAAATAATTATGTGATATATATAAATAAAAATATATATAGATAAAAATTTTAGTTAGGTAACTCTTTTTCAGTTTGCTCGAATTTTTTGCTGAACATTGCTCGAATTTCTTGATTGTCGAAATTCTTTGGGCGGCAAGTGCCCCCCCCCCCTGCCCCTTGTCTTGTTGCATGTATATTATTTAAAGGATGCGCTCTTTAGGAACTATTTTGTCCATTTTCAGATGAAAATTCCCGTAGGTAGAGTTGGCATTGCAAACAGAAAAGATTGGACAAACGGTTTAAAGAATTTTGAAATCAAAATTGGTGACAGTTTGGAAAACGAAGGTCGAAACAACCCGAAGTGTGGAGATCGACATACAGTGCCACACAAAGAGTATAAGATCATTTCTTGTTCACCTCCCCTCTCTGGTCGATATGTTGTCATTCAAGGTTTCGATTCTTCAAATTTGGTCATAATAGAAGTTGAAGTATTTGCAGCGGAAGTTGAAGTCAATTAAAGGGCTACAATTTTACAATACATATAGTCAGTGTGCATGGATATCAGCACTGACTGGACACATACAGTGTCAGCACTGAATGGATTAAAGTATTTCGTGCATGGAAAACGTCTCTAAATTAACTTTTCTAAACTTAGAACCTTTAACGCACTTTCGTCTTCACTTTGGTTGGGTTTTAGCACGTTGTTGTATAGACTCTTTTTTCTCTAAGATAATTTTGGTGTCTTTGACATCTTTGCAAGGGGACAGCTGCATCTGCTACCTTTTTGTTTTGGTATTGCCATGGCAATGACGGCATTATAACCAGAAGATAACAACAAGCTTGCACGGTCTTTGCAATGCTGTATTAATTTTAATAGCGAAATAATTATTAACACATTAAGAGTTAATGCAATATATACTTATTTATTTCGACAATTTAAAATAATAAAATACATAAATATACTTAAGATAGCGAATCTACAATAAATCAATATTAGGCAGAAAAAAATTTTCAAAATGTTTAAAAGAACAGACCTTATAGCAATAGACAATAAAACCTTATAGCATATATATGCAATTCTCGATAAATTACAAACACCTTCACACTATGAGTCCTGTCAAACGGGTTGCTAATATTAATATTTCGATGATTCAACATTAATGTAGTACCTGTCAGTGTTTGAAAGGCTTTCAATTCCAGTTTTATCCATCACTTCAGTGCGTCGCATGTATGATTGTAAAAAGAAACGTTACCTATACAAGGATGGTTGTCTCGGTTTATAAACTCGCTGTTTTACTTTTGAGCGTAAAATTCACTTTACAACACGCGTCGCTTTCTGCAGACGCTAAGAGCATTATAGTAGCAAATTTTTACCGTCTTCGTGACCATAGTCTCCGTGTTCCTCCTCTAGCAAGTTTGAAAATTTCGGGTAATGAAATGAAGTGTTTAACACTCTGTGTTAAAAATGAAAATTGCTACTCGTTGAATGCAAGAAAGCAAGAAAACGAAGACGTGATTTGCGAGCTGTTGAACAATACGATGTATCAGTATCCAAATAATTTAACACAAGATGAAAACATTACACACTGGTTTACTAAGGTAGGATATTTTTGTCTTTATCAAAAAAGCTACGATATTCAGTAATGCGTTCAATACCTCAAGCAGGACAGAGAGTCAATAAAATTATGTAATTCAAGCAAGACACAGGTTGAGACTATAAACTTTCAACTTTATTTCAAAGTTACCTTCAGTCCGTCCCAACCTGTTACTGTATTATTAGAAGGAAAAAAGATGAATTGTGCTTAAACAACTTCTGTTTGCCTCGTATCCACAATGAGAAGGAAGCAGAATATCCTTCTCCGGAATGTTTAGTGGCGTTCGCATGCAAGTGTTTGTAAGCAATGGACCTTTACCCTTTTAGCTCTCAAGCGTGCAACGCGTGACGCTCGTTGATTGTCAAGGTCAATTTTAGTTGTAATTTCGCCATATTTAGGAGCGATTTAGTTTTACAAAGAAGCAAAAAGAATCGGCAAGGTTTTCTTACAAACAAAACCGCTTCAAAGCAGAGCGATATTGCAACTGAAAGTTGCTTGATAATCAACTACCGTAACGCTTTGGGCGCTTGAAAGCTAAAAGGGAAAGGTCTATTGGTGTCGAGCGATGCCTTTTTCGAATCTTTTCGACCTGGAACCCATGTACACCAATTTATAAATGTTTTGTCCTACAGTCCTGTGCCTATCAGCTTTTTGAGTATGAACATTTCTCTGACAAAAATCGGTAAATTCGCCCAATTTTGCCTCTCAAAAATTGCATTAATCCCCGAGCCGGTGCGAAGCACCGGGCAAGGGTACTAATTCCGCCCGGAGATTTTAATTACGCCCGGGAATGCAAATGCGAAATGAAAGTTGTCCGCCATTATGTCATGGACGTTGGGCGTTTTTGTAAGTTATGGGCATGCGTGAGTATAAGACGAGTTAAAACTGGTAACTAGCAAACGTTTACAAACGTGCGATTGGCTAAATTAAAATTTGGGTTCACGTCAGCATAACTGATATTTTGAATTTGAATTATAAAACTTTTTTAAATAATATTATTTCATTTGGATGATCTTAAAAATATACGAAAAATTGACTCGTAAAATTAATTAAAATATAATGTAAAAGATACCTTTGGATAGAAAAATTTTCATTCAAAGGGATGGTAAAAAATCTACGATTTTGAAGCATTTTTAAAGTGTTTTTGAACAGGTAAATGGGTAGATTTTGTATTTTAAAGCATACAAGTATTTTGTATGTTTAATATGTGGATTTATCAACAAATGTATGACACCTCTTTGAATTTATTCGTCAATTTCATTGAAATGATTTTGATTTGGAAAGTATTTATTTTTAAAGGTGAATTTGTTTAAAAAGTAATTGAAATTTCGCTAAAAATTGTAGTATTTAAAACTATTCGCAGCACAATTATGATTATAGTCGAATTTGATAGCTCGAGAGTCGACTTTATAATTGAACTTGATGGAAATATAAGTTTATTGCTTCAGGCGAGGGGATTTTGCATGCAATGTATTTCTAGTATTTTGATCATGTTCTGATCTCTTCTTCTAATATTGCCTTCCAGGTTCCATGTGTTCCTAGTCCATGTTTTAAATCATACACCATTTGCATTGCCAAATATTCAGTTCATGTGCCATTCGCATGTGTTTACAGTAAGTATTCCGTGTTTACATACGGTGTCATTTTTTAAAATTTGCTTCGTTTTGCTTCTATCCGGCAAGTTTGATTTATAGATAACTAATTTTCATTTTAAAAATATTCGATTATTTCTTGCTGTTCTGAAGTAAATTAAGGTACCATTTGAAAGCTAATGATGAATTCATTATATTTAATAATTATATCATGCGTAAAGAGGAGTTAATTTTAATTTCTATTGCAACTGATATACGTAATGTTCGTTTCTAGAACGGGACTACAATTTCGCCTTACGTAAACCAACAGCACAGTCTAATGTCAGGTTTGCAGGTGGCGTATCTCTTTCATCACACTACGCTGTTGATGGCATCAAAGCTGCTTCTTGTTTGGGTGACCCCGAGACTACTGGGTGTGTTCATCTGGACACTAATCACAATCAATGGTGGCGAGTTGACCTGCAGGTAATAATGTTGTCTTATGAGCACGCTCTTCTCCACAATACCGTTCAAATCTCCACATCACTCTTTTTATGATTACGTCATGGCCCCAGAGGCGTAGCTAGAACGATAATTGGGGGTATTTAATCATGTATTCAGTTCTGTCCGAGGGAGTGTTGTAAACTATTGAACTTATAAAAAAAAACCGTCGTGCATAACTGAATATATGAATAAACAACCTCTCTAAGTTATCGTTCTATCCACGCCACTGCATGTCTTAGACCATAAATGTCGCACCGGTTTCGAAAATGTCCCTCTACACCTCCTCCCAAATTAATTGAGCTATAATGATTATTCCTCGTATTTAACAAGCACATCTACTGATCTGCGCGATTCTTCTTTTTACCGTTAGTTTGTCCACTGTTCATGACATTGAAAATTTTTTTGAGAGAGGATTTATACAAAACGTCCTTTGGCAGTTGGTTAAACGTCCTCATGGAGATGTTTCAGTACTTTCAAAAAATTATACGATAAGATATGATACGAACTTTATTTCAAATCACAGATTTTTACTGAGGCAATTATCACCCAATTTTATCAAAATGAATACCCTATCGGCGATATAACTAAGTCATATATATGGAGACTTGCACATGACGATCGAGAATAATTACGTAGAAAGAATTATGTAGAATATATATATATGTTATTTACCAGCTGCGCAGTCTGGATAGAAAAATATTTTCCGGAGGTAGCTATCAAAAGGGGGTGGGTCTATGACTTTACAAACTTGGATTTTATAATATTAATTTTGTAAAACTTAGACAGGACCAAAAATAATTCGCATCTATATTTGTTAAAGGATGCGCCCTTTAGGAACTATTTTGTCCATTTTCAGATGAAAATTCCCGTAGGTAGAGTTGGCATTACAAACAGGAAAGATTGGAAAAACGGTTTAAAGAATTTTGAAATCAAAATTGGTGACAGTCTGGAAAATGAGGGTCGAAACAACCCAAAGTGTGGAGATCGACATTCAGTGCCACACAAAGAGTATAAGATAATTTCTTGTTCACCTCCCTTGTCTGGTCGATATGTTGTCATGCAAGGTTTCGATTCTCATCCTTTGGTCATGACGGAAGTTGAAGTATTTGCAGCAGAAGTGGAAGTCAATTAAAGTGTTACAATTTTACAATACATATAGTCAGTCTGCATGGATATCATCACTGACTGGACACATATAGTGTCAGCACTGAATGGATTAAACTGAGTATTTAGAGCATGGAAAACGTCTCTGAATTAACTTTCCTAAACTTAGAATTTTTAACGCACTTTCGTCATCTCTTTGGTTGGGTTTTTAGCACGTTATTGTATACACCTTTGTTTCTCTAAGGTAATTTTGGTGTCTTCCACCCGACGATGCTGCTAGTTGCCGTTGGTGGCACTTCTACGAAGATAAAGAATGTAATCCTTTTTCATGAAAGGACATCTCCCCCCCCCCTTCGAACATCTCCCCCCCCGAAATAATTATTAACACATTAAGAGTTAATGCGATAATTATACTTATTATGTTCGATAATTTGAAATAATAGAATAGATAAATATACTTAAGATAGCGAATCTACTACAATAAATCAATATTAGCGAGAAAAACTCTAAAACCTAACAGCGTATATGCAATTCTCGATATTACAAACACCTTCACAATATGAGTCCTGTCAAACGGGTTGCTAATATTTATATTTCGATGCTTCAACATTAATAATTTATTTTTGGTTACCTGTTGGCGTTTTAAAATTCCAGATTTATACATCACTTCAGTGCTTAGCATGTATAATTGTAAAGAAACGTTACCTACAAGGATGGCTGTCTGGGTTTATAGACTCGCTGTTTTACTCTCGAGCGTAACATTGACTTTGCAATACGCGTCGTTTTCTGCAGACGCCAAGAACATTATAGTAGCACATTATTTTCGTCTTCGTGACCATAGTCTCCGTGTTCCTCCTCTAGCAAGTTTGAAAATTTCGGGTAATGAAATGAAGTGTTTAACACTCTGTGTCAAAAATGAAAATTGCTACTCGTTGAATGCAAGAAAGCAAGAAAACGAAGACGTGATTTGCGAGCTGTTGAACAATACGATGTATCAGCATCCAAATAATTTAACGCGAGATGAAAGCATTACACACTGGTTTACTAAGGTAGGATATTTTTTTCCTCTATATCAAAACAGCTGCAATATTCAGTAATGCGTTCAATACCCCAGATAGGACATCTTGAGAGTCGATAAAATCACATTATTCAAACATGACACAGGTTCAGACAGACTATAAAATTTCAACTTTGTTTCAAAGTCATCTTGAGTCTAAAATTTACCGTCTCAACCTGTGACTGTATTATTAGTTTTTTCCTTTCCTCCTTAAATGGGCATGGTTTTTGGCGAAGGTAAATGAGTAATACTTTTTTTCGTAAAAAACTTCAAAACTTAATTTGTTATCCTGTTTGATGATATGAAAATTTAGGCAACCGCCGGATTGGCTGGTGGTGATCGATTTAGTTAAAAGAGCTTCGTTATATGTATAATAAAATACGCATATTTTGAACACAGCCATAGGCATAAGTGAAAAAGGCTAAAATAGCCTTCTAAAACCATGTTTCGAAGGAAAAAAGATGAATTCTGCTCCGTGCCTAAATATCTTCTGTTTATCTTGCGCATCATGAGGCTCAACAGTGTGTAGAAAGCAGAATATCCTGGACCGGAATTCTTAGCGGCGTTCGCAAGCTGTTGCATGCAATGGACCTTTACCCTCTTAGCTTTCAAGCGCGCAAAACGTGACGCTAGATAATTAAATATCATCGTCACAATCATTGTCATCATCAAGGTCAATTTGAGTAGGAATTTGTCCATGCATGTTCAGGAGCAATTTAGTTTAACAAAGAAACACAAAGAATCCGCAAGGTTTTGTTAGAAACAAAATCTTCTTTAAACAAAGCGATATTGGAACTCAAAGTTGCCTGATAATCAACTACGGTTACGCATTGGGCGCTTGAAAGCCAAAAGGGGAAAGGTCTATTGGCGTCGAGCGATGCCTTTGTCAATTCTATTAGACTTGGAACCCGTGTACACCAATTTATAAATGTTTTGTCCTACAGTCCTGTGCCTATCAGCTTTTTGAGTATGAATATTTCTCTGACAAAAAAATTAGGGAATTCGCCCAATTTTGCCTGCGAAAATCGCATTTATTTTGATCATGTGCTGATTTCTTCTCCTAATATTGCCTTCCAGGTTCCATGTGTTCCTAGTCCATGTTTTAAATCATACACCACTTGCATTGCCAAAGATTCAGTTCTTGTGCCATTCGCATGCGTTTACAGTAAGTATACTCCGTGTTTACATATACGGTGTCATTTTTTTAAATTTGCTTCGTTGTGCCTTCTATCAGCCACGTTTGAATTATAGATAACTAATTTTCATTGTTAAAATATTCGATTATTTCTTGCTATTATGAATCAAATTTAGGTACAGTTGGAAAGCTAAATAACTGCTTTGATATGCTGCGTAAGGATTAATTCATTATAGTCAATATATCCTGCGTAAAGAACAGTTAATTTTCATTTCTATATTGCAATTGATATACGTAATGTTCATTTCTAGAACGGGACTATAATTTCGCGTTGCGTAAACCAACAGCACAGTCTAATGTTAGGGTTGGAGCTGATGGCGTATCTTTTGCATCACACTACGCCGTTGATGGCGTGAAAGCTGCTTCTTGTTCGGGTGACCCTGAGACGTCCGGGTGTGTTCATCTTGACACTAGTCACAATCAATGGTGGCGAGTTGACCTGCAGGTAATAATGTTGTGAGCACGCCCCTCTCCTCAATGCTGTTCAAATCCCCACATCACCGTCCTTATGATTACGTTATGCCCCCAGGGGCGTAGCTAGAACGATAATTGCATAGGGGTATTTATTCATATATTCTGTTCTGTCAAAGGGAGTGTTGCAAACTATTGAATTTACAAAAGAAATAATGATGAATAAACAACCTCTCCAAGTTATCGTTCTAGCCACGCAACTGCATGTCCTAGACCATAAATGTCGCAACGGTTTAAAACAAGTACGATCGTACTACAGGGTGTATAAAAAAAAACGCAACCACCTAATATTCATGAATATCCTCTTTGTTCTACAACACAAAAGACGTTTGGCCCCTGGAATGCGAGAAAGCTTGTAATCATATTCTAGCGGCACAATCGTCGGTAAACAAAGTCGGGTGCGTAAACCAACGAGCTGAATTGAAAGTATTTAACGAGTAAAATTTTATTTACAATTCATTTTACAAGGTCGACAGTTAGCATTCAAGTTATCATGGACGACAATAAAAACTCGTTGTTCGGTTGTTGGCTGCACCATTATTAGTTTAGCTGATTTGACCATTAGCAGTTGAACTGTACGATTAGAAGCCATTTTAAAATCCCAGGGGCATAAAATCTATTGAGCTTATGAACAATATGAATTTTAGAATATTAAGTGGTTGCGTTTTTTTTTGATACACCCGGCCTGTATAGGGACCAGGAACTGCGTAACCGAGTTTAATTTCTGAACTGCATTGTATTTATAACCGGAGAGGACAATGTATTTCTAATCGTTTCCGTTTACTTATATATAGGCTGAATATTAATGATATGTATATATTATTTGCTGCAAATATATCAAGAATTGCTTGTAACTTGCTTCAAAGGTCAAAAGTAAAAATTCGAACTCCGTCAATCGATGCGGAATAATGCTTAGAATAATTGTGCCAAGTTTCATTCCGATCAAACAAGTAAGTGATAGAGCCTTAGGGTTTTTTTAAAGAGCGTCGCCCCCTAACAACAACAAGATTAGCAGCGGTTAGGGACCAGTTCCTGGTCCAAAAATGTCCCTCTACACCTCCTCCCATTGAAAAATTTTTTGGGAGAGGTTTTTATACAAAACGTCCTGTGCATGGCAGTTGGTTAAACGTCCTCATGGAGATGTTTCAGTATTTTCAAAAATGATACGATAAGATATGATACGAAAGTTATTTCGAATCACAAATTTTGACTGAGGCAATTATCCCCAAATTTTGTTCAAAATGAATGTCCTATCGGCGATATAACTAAGTCATATATACATGGAGACTGGCTCATGAGGATCGACAATAATTATGTAGAATATATGGGGCAAACGTTTGAGTCCAGTCGTTGTAGAATTCCAGTATTAAATCCTGGCAGCGTATTCGAGTTAAGACATGCGTGCTAGTGTTTCAGTACTGTAAACCATATTAATTGCACACTATTTCGGTCCTAATTATCTAAATTATAACAAAATAAAATTCTCATTCCTTTACACCGCAACATGGGTGGGAAAAAAGGCAAAGTTATGGTGCACAAAGACAAATAGTTGCATTAAGTAGTGAAGGATTCTTTCCTCGTAAGATCGCAGAAAAAGTGAGAATTTCAAAAGGTGGTATGCAACTAACCTTGGAGAGGTTCGAAGAAACTAAATCCTACTCAAGCCAACTTTTAGCTGCTTCGGTCATGCTGGGTTTGGCAATATTGAAAGATATAATAGGATCCTAATTAAAGAAAAGTATCATCCAATTCTTCAAGGACATGGAATTTCATCTGGCACAAAGATGATCGCGTGTCTAACTACATGATAATCACCCTAAACTTATGCACATCTTCTATGTGCCCGAAATCTTATAGAAGCAAACTCGTTCTGGTGATATCGTTCTCATGTTTTTCCACCTCAAATTCCAGATCTAAAACCTATGAAGCACTTGTAGGACCGTTTTAAAAAGAAAAGGGCGAGGCACAGACCCACCAGCCAGGATAACTTGAGGAAAGTGGTCGACGAATGCTGGCAAAGTATTGAACGTGCGACATTAAAAAACCTATGGAATCTATGCCAGCAAGAATAAAGACCGCTTCGAGAGCAAAAAAGAGGAATACTAAGCATTGACATTTTTTCATTTTTGCACATTAACATACGTTAAATGAATATCATCACATCCCATAGTTGTTGTGCAGCACGTATTTTTCAGTTTACTTATTTACTTTTTTCTAGTTCACTTATCGGTAAGGTTTTCTGTAGAAAATTAATATATGCTGCTAAAACAATGAAATACAGTCACTGGACTCAAACTTTTGCCTC